TATTAATGCAAGTATGGCACGTTCATTTAAATCAGGCGCAAAATAACTTATTATATTGTGCCATGTTTATAAATGTGAATATAAAATATTGCGAGTGCATTAATTTAATTATTTTTCAATGGAAAAGCACATTCTTGTTTTTACTATGAAGAGATTCCGTGGAATTTCACAAAATTTAATTTCAAACTGATGAAGTGGCAATGCACAAAAAACACTCTCGATAGCTATGTATTTATACAATACACCGCCTTTGTAGGATTACACGGCGTATGAGTCACATTCAACTTTCAAAAATATTTAATATGCTGCATATTAAATTTGCTACCGTTTCAACAATTAAATATGTTATTAATTTTTTAGAGAATTATGAATGGTATGTGTAACACTTGAAAAAAATGAAATCACTGATAAACATTTATTTTGTGCGTAAATTCGCAAAATTACTTATTGAAATGTTAGACTAGTGCCGATTTCTTTGAAAATAATGAAAAGAAGGAAATTCATGGCACGTTAGTTTGAAATACATCGGAAATGAAAGATAGAATCACAAACTTTGAAGGAAAAGGAATTAGCGTGCGATATAAACTCGGTAAAAGGATGGGGAGCGGCGTGATTGCACTATTAAAGGGTATTCTAGTGCAGAATTTCAAAAAAATCGATTTTTTTTAATTCAAAAATGTGTCTACAAAAGGATTTTTGAAAATTTAAATTATTTGCGGAGATATAGATATTTCATTAACTGGTTCGGCTGGGACTAATCGATCAAAAAAACTTTAAGCGAAATTTTAAATGCGTTATTCTCAGCCCAGACTTTTTTAATAAGATACCGACGATTTTTCGGGTTCTACTCTCTCCCGATTTAGCTGAAATTTTCAGAGAATCTTCTTTATAGACCTCTCTCGAGTAAAAACTAGCCTCATTCTCAAATTTAAATTTTTACAATTTTAAAAAAATACGAGAAAAAAAGGTAAAAAAAAGCCTTTTTGCCGATTGCAAGCTGCCTTTTGTATTCCATTTTCCCTTTTCTGTTAAAAATTACCATAGTAACTTATATATTTTTATACCATTATAAATAGAATTTTTAGCAAACATAAAACCTACAGACTTTTTTAAAAACTCTGTAATTTTGACGTGAGAGTTTTTGATTGAAAATAAATTTTTTTTCGGTTTTAGGTCGAAATAAGGTTCCCTCCTTTATATATTAAATTAATAATTTTAGGTACAGGATAAAAATAAAAAACCCAAAAACTTCGTTATTTGAATTTATTACAAACATTTTGATGTAATTTATGTGAAAAAGTCTATATGCAAAGGCTATAGATCTGTTCATTACCTACAACAGTTCCATATACTTCTTTTTATAGGATCGGAGATATACCGTTTTGAACTCTTCAAAATTCAACCATGCCGATCCCCTTCCTCTTTCCTGGTCTATGTAGTATAAGTGTCATTGAAATAGTAAAATTAATCTCTAACTGGTTAAGCAAAAAAAAAAATGCAATGTTTAACTTGAAAAATAAAATAATAAATATATCCTAGCAAGTGCATAAGTTTTTAAATAGCATCTTGCACGTCTTTAAGAACTTCCGCTAAGAATACCTTTAACTAACTTTAATCGCTATTTCCTTGAGCTCACATAATCCAAGAAAAATGCGAATGTGTAATAATTTGCTAATAACAAAGACGAAATTGCAGTAGCAATCAGCAACAGTTAAAGAAGTCTGAATGGCTTTTCCCAGTTCTATGTTGAATCGCTGGCTAAGCTCTCACATAAACCGTTACGCACATAAGTAGAGCTTCACTGATTTGAGTAAAAGCGGAAAAATTAAAACTGCATAAATAGTAAAATATTATCTAATCATGTGATACAAACTGCAGAAAAGCAAATGAAAGAACTTGAGTTTTTAAATAAATAAATAGCAAAATGAAAGAATATGGTACTTTGGTAACAGCGAAATGGAGAACATAAATGCATACTGAGTACATCTTGAATAAATTATAAATAATAAAAAAATATAATTAATTTTTTTGTGTACTAACATCCAATGAATAAAGTGTTCAGTGCCCAGTACATGGCAGTAATCGCATAAAGTTAAAATGTATTTTGCTGGCAGCTGTATTAACTTGATATCCTTAAACGTAAATTTAATTTGCACAAAAAATATTTAAAAATGTTTTTAAAAATCAGCTGGAAGTGGATATGAAAGTTAGGGTTTTCAAAGCTTATTCAATATAATCGATGTTAGTGAACATACAATTACTGCTTGAGTGTTCTTCACATATGTAATACTTTAAAAATCAACATTTTTTCCTGGAAATTCCAATTCAATATTTCTCGAGCATACTTATACATGTAATGATTCAGCTTATACATACCAAAACAACCATCTCTTCGACCCACTTGAACTAATTTAAGGCCGCTTAGAGTATGGGTGTATAATTTTCGCAATTAAGTGCACACGGACTATAAAAAATGCGTTTATTATTAGCAGCGCAAGTGCACATACATATAAGTACATTAGGGTGTCCGCAGACGCCCACTGAAGTTTCAGTTTTGCCCTTAAAAGGTTGTCAAACGTAAGGGAGCTCTTTATTTTCAATTTAAACCGTTCACAAATCATGTTTCTTTTTCTCATATGCAAGTATATAAGAATACATTCTTTTTTTCCACCCTAATATGCATACCTATATAATTACATAATCTTTTGTCTGCTTGAATGAATCTTCAAATAGGTATATATTATTATATACAAGTACATAACAGCAAATGATGTCGTGTTCCCATATTAAGCCAAACATAGTATATTATATAATATTATAGATATATATATATACATATTTATAATATACATTATTTATAATTGAGATATCCGCGTTTGCTGAAAAATATACTTCAAATTAGGAATGTGGTTAATTTGATTAACTACGTACCCAAATATAATTAGTGTACCTCAGTTGCCATAAATATTTGTAAATTTTCACGTTGCAATATAAGTGTCCACAAACATCAGCTTCATCAAATGCCATAAATTCTCAACACCTATATTATCAATTACTTTTGTGGAAAATTTCGAAACAACCAACCAAAAATCGCATTAGAGACACACAACCCAACATATTCTACTCGTATTCTATTTTTATTTGCCTAATTAATTTATACGGGTTTGCTTGGCTGTTTCGCATTTGCCTGTGTGCAATATTAGTACGCATGTCTGCATGGGCGGCATGCTATAAATATAATTTGTGCGAGCCACAAGAGAGGCAAGCGGTCAGCGATCGAGCTTTTGTTTTGTGAGAACTTACAAAATCTATTATTATATTGAATATTGGTGTATTTCTACTAACAACAGGGCTCGATATTAAATCAGTTGCTTAATGCAGCATAGCATTACGAGGAGAGTGGTTAATTTGTGTTGAGAGTGATCTAAATATATATATTGTAACTTAAATTTTGGATTTAGACATGAACTTACACATACATATGTATATATGCATTAGAATGTATCGATGAATTTACAACAGTAAATTCAATGAAAGCGAATTCAGATGAATTCGTACAAAGGTGGGGCTTAAAAACACATTTAACAAAATAGTAGAAGACGCCGCTTTAGTTATAAGCATATAGCTGTTTGCAGGTCCTGCGAGATATTGCATATTCTTGGTCACAAAGAAAGTGGCTTGTAGCAGGAGTGATCCAACAAATCTATTAAAACACCAGAACACGATGCGTGCAATGGCATACATACCTACTGCCTAAGTCTGGGAACACATTGAAACTTGGTTGGCACTTATTTATTTTGGTATATTTGCAGAGCTTTGCTGGGATATACTTTGTGTGAATGCGTGCTTGCTGTGTGGAAATTAAATCGAATGGAAATTCACATACTCGCCTTACAGATATGTCCATATGTTACTTATATATTTACATATCATATATAGCAAGGCGAAATGAAGGCAGAATGAAACTGGAGAAATGATCAATTGAAATTGTAATTTATATTTGAATGGACCGTAAAACAATCGCAAAATTGAAACATATATACAAATATATTCAGTTGTAAGCACTTTGTGCGCAAGCAAATATATGTGGTGTATCCCTGCTTGAATGGCATGCCTTGCATGCAACCCGTCCTACATCTCATATTGGCATGCACTTAGTTGCTGTCCACAAGAAAATTCTGCTTCATTGTGGGCATGCAAATATTTATTTTACTTGCATCTGCAGATTCTCTCAATTGCATGTTTACTCAAATATACTTTAGTCGATTTGTATTACCTTAAGCTACAATTTGTAGTAGCATGTCACTGATGTACTAAGATTGGTTAGTAAATATACATACCTATATATCGCATTTAAATAGTTGAAAACGTGTTTTCTGTCAGAGACAAAGAGTTCCTTGGAAAGCAATGTGAAGCCATCAGATATTCTTGCGGTCTACAAGATAATCTCACACAATTGCATTTAATGCTATTACAATCCGCATAACCACCCAGCATATCCGTCAAACAAAAGCACAAGCTCACAAACGTCTTATATTTAAATAGCAAAATTGAAATGAGCTTGAATAATATTACTTAAATCTTCTATTTCTTTTAAATTTCACATGTTTTCAAGAATTCGTAGGAATTAAATTTTTTTTTTATTTGATGCAGAATCGGAAGTTGTGGAACTCGTAGACAGAATAATACCGTACATTTGTCTTGTCAATTATGAATTACCCTTAACATATTTTATCCGCATATAATCGATTAATTTTATATTTCTAATCAAACCGCATAAACTAACATAGCAGATCAGTTACCATGGCAAACGGCAATACAAACACATGATAAATGATGATCAAAATTTAATTAATTCAAACAAAATTCCGAAAATTCACAATACCCACTCAAATTTTCAAATTCAAATACGGTCGTCAATTATTCCTATTCTTTGTATATGGAATGTCACTATTTTATTGTGAATATTACAATTATACTTGTTATGATTTATTGAAAGTTTTTTTTGTTAGTTTGATAGGTATTTGTAAAATTCAAACAAATTAATATTGACTATTTGCTAAATACAATTTAGCTTGGAAATAGAGACAGAACATTAATTACAAATGAGAAATTTAACTATGCAGCAGCTAATCGCAAAAATTCAAAGCTTTTTTTCACCAAGCATGTTTACTGAATATATTTCTTAAAGAACACGTACCATTCATGCACGAGAAATAACATCGAAATGAAAACCACGAACAGCGAACCAATGATAAATTTGAAATTTGAACTAATATTGCAATAACCTTGACACGAACCTCCTACAGCAGCAGTTTATTACACTGTTCCATAAAAAATAGCTTAGTGCTACAAAAATACCCATGCATCCGATTTCACCGAACTTCACTGCCAGCTGAAAAGAGTTGCAAGGAAAAGTTTTCTCGGCAAGATACGTAACATTTGCTTATATTGGAGCACGCAGTCAACAGCGGGCATAGCATGTGCTTGCATAGAGGTAGAAGAGGGCGAGGCGACACAATCAATGCAGCAGAAATCACTAAGAAAAGTTCAGAAACTTGATTATAAGTTTGTAGAAGTGCAGTTACACTCATACCTACTTATATATTATTATTATAGAGGTCGGATGAAATGAAAAAATCAACGGAGAAACGAACGAAAAAATTAGTTGGGTGGAAGCGGCGAAGTGCATTTACCAGTGATATACTCTGTTTGCACAACTGAGAGGCGGCGCCTCAATACCCATTCGTTAATTGATGTGTCAGCAAATAGCACAGTTTTATGCAAACCAAGCTAAAAACCAGGCGACTTCCTCAATAATATGAAGAAAGTAAAATCGAAAGTCTCAAACAATTGCAAGAAAACTGAAAACTTTCGCAAGTGTGATGGTGCAATGGCCTTGAACTAAGTAATTTCGAAAGAGCAAACAAAAAACGACGAGATATTATAAGAAAAAAAACGGACAAACATTTGAATTATGACCAAAATTTGCTTAAGTAAAACAGAAGGAGTATGTCGACAATTCCAATAACAACTTTGGTATAAGTAGTTTTCTTTTTGGTTTTGAAACTTTAATGAAATTGGAGAATGGCAATAATGATGGGTGCAGCAATGTTAAAACCTTTGTTTGAGTTTGGAATGGAATTCCAATAATTTTTTATTATTTTTCGCACAAATTGGCTTGTATAGAACGGTTCTTTGAAGCAAGTTGATATTTCGCTTGCATTACTTGGCAATTGCACTAAAATCAATCGTAGGAAAATCGCACATTATTATCTTTAAACGTTTCTTCAGCGTGAATTATGTACGCATACACAATTTTTGTTATTTATATAAGAATAATTTTGCTCAATAAGAGATACCTTAATATCGTACTTATGTATCATATTATATATCGTAATGAATGAGGTTGGTGTATGGCCAGAGTGTTGTGTTAGGCTACCTGATTCGCGCGTACCTTGACAGCTGTCATTGTTTTAACCACCTAAGTACATAAATAATTTTTTATTGAGAGTAAAGATAAATAAGTTTATAGCACGCTTACACGCATGGAAATTTTCAATGTAAATAAAAATGCCACCATGTATTTATATGCATATACATATATATGTATAAATTGACACAGAATATGCAATATACAAAACTATGAAACGGCTCCATTGATATTAATTAATTCCGCCGTGTTTATTTGTCTTTACTATTTATGTTTTCAGGTAAATATTGTCGCTGTTTTTATATTTGCAAATAAATACTCAATAAAACATTGGGCAAAGTTATTAAATTTTCCAACCTACGCTTAGGGCTAATTTTATTTCAAAATTACACCCAACATATTTCAGCTTTTACACAAATGGCATATTAATTAAATATTTTATATAAAAAAAAAAAGGTGAATCTCTGCAGGTTCAGCAAATATTACAAAATGGTCTGATATGAAAAGTATCGAGCTAGTACTTGCCTGCTATTAAGCATAATATTGACATGTCAACTGTGCATATCGAAAATGTAACGCACGTGAGTTTGACTCAAGCAAATTGTAATGCATTTGGCCAATATGCAAAATTTATGCACGCTGGCTCTGTCACGTTCGCCACACCCACACACGCACAACTGTAGCTTATTTACATAGCATTTACCGTTAAAACGGTGCGAGATGTGTGCGCATTTCAATTCAATTTGCTGGTGGACATATGCGTGGGATATCTCTTTTAAGGAAACCGCTACAATAACAACAGCAACAAGATTTGGCTAGCGTTTTGCGGTCAAATAACATTACTCACATTACTCTTCGTGTCTGTAGCTCCGATAGAGAGTGATGTTGCTCGGGGGAATGTTTATGCTGCTTCTTGTACGCTAATTTTAACTGCGTCCTCGTTGGGACCAAATTGTACATGAAATTGCATTCCATTGGCAACACATTTGCAACATGGATCTTATCGGGTTGAGTTAGTGAATGCTTACTGTGGTATCTGACCATGTCCTTCTAAAGCCATAAGTATATATGTACATAGATAATTGTGAATGTGTTCGCAGTTGATTGTTTACTTACATTTGATATGTCACCAGTTGTGACGCTAAAAGCGAATTTAAAATTAATAACTTTACTTTGAGTACAAAAGGGTCTTAACAGTGTGGTATCTAATTACGAGCGTGTGTTTTATTTTTTTTGCTTGCTTCTAGCAAGGTTTTCATAGCTATTGAGTTAATAGCTTGTCCAACTCGTTCGAAAAGGTTTTTGCATCTGTGTCCGAAGTCCGCAGTTCAAAGTTCAATTCATGTGTCGCTCTGTCATTGAAAGTTTTAATGCCATGAACATCTTACTGCAGCCACATTTTTGCCCACAAATGGTAAGCTGTGTTTGTTATGTAGCTAACCTGGTTAATATATAGACGTAAATATGAAATGTTGCATGCAAAAGCTTTGAATAATTCACACACACACGCCATAAAATGTCAAAGTGGTAAGGCCAACAAGAGCGTACATTTTTGTGACACATGTCACAAATGTACGAGTATTGCCACGAGTTGCGTAGGCGTGGAGACCAGAAGAATGGATTGAAAACCATTACTTTTATTAATATATACTTTAGTTCTTTACCCAATGAGAGGTAGAGAAGCTTTGTTAAATTTTCGAGAGTATTCAACATACTTAAACGTTTTCTGGGTGCAGGCAAAGTGATTTTGAGAATTTTGTGGTAATCGAATGTCACACACCTCGAAATTTTTAAGTATTAAAAAAAAAAGTGTAGTTGAACAAGAAAAAACGTTAACTTCGGTTGCCGAAGCTAAAATACTCTTCACAAATACAAAGGTTCCTTACAAGAACTTGATTCCGATCGTTCAAATTGTATGGCAGCTATATGCTATAGTGATCTGATCTGAACAATTTCTGCGGAGAATACACTGTTGCTCTGAACAACAACTCGTGACAAATTTCGTCTAAAGCAGCAATATGCTATAGTGGTCCGATATCGGCCATTCCGACAAATGTGCAGCTTCTTAGTCAGAAAAAGACAGGTGCAAAATTTCAGATCGATAGCTTAAAAACTGAGGGACTAGTTTGTATATATACAGACTGACGGACGGACATGGCTAAATCAACTCGGCCCATTATGCTGATCATTTATGTATATATTTTATAGGGTCTCCGACGTTTCCTTCTGGCTGTTACAAACTTCGTGGCAAACTTAATATACTCTGTTCAGGTTATAAAAACTTTTGTCGTTACTTGGTTACACTTCGTTACACTTTAGCCTAGAACAAGCGATTTCGTTTAAAATGTTGCGAAATCGAAGCTGTTCACAACTTGAGGTTTTATTAGATATCACCATAAGTTAAATGTATCGTACTTACCAGCTGCTTATCTCTAGACAGCTTTGTAGAGAGTTAGCTACGCTGCCTGTCGCATTAATGTTGGAACATAAAAAATAAGCCAAATATTGCCCCACCCGGCCAACAACACAACTAATGCGTGACAGCGCACACTTTTATGCATTCATGTCTAATGAGAAGTGTACGAACAACTTTTCACATTACGTATACGCTCTGTTCGACGCGCAAAATGGCAAAGTGTACATACATCCACCTTATGAATGCAGACTGAATGAGATTCGTGTGCATAAGTTAGTGTGTACGTGCACGCATACGCAGGTGTGGCCAATGATGGAGGCAACTTTCGCATATTATTATTTAACTCGGCTATTGCGGTATTGTTTTTGGTGCGCTATTTTACCATATTTATGAGTTTATATACATATATACATACATATATAATGCAGATATACATATAGTGGCTACAACGGTTGGGTCAACATTCATGCTATTAGCGTGGTTTGGCATTTCCGCAGCAAACTTTTGTATTAATATTTATTTGCTCTGCTACTCGGTTGTTTCCTGGTGAAAGTTTTTATTGGCAAACATATTTATACCCAGCGTACAACTTCCTATACTGTGCTGTATTCGAAATTAAATTAATATCATGATTCTGCACTTTATTTTGATTGATTGATACAACTTTGAAAGGAGTTATCTGGATTAGTAGTCAAATGGGCGTGGCGGTCGTGGTGGCCAAGTGCGTTCAGTGTACGACATTCGCTGTGTGGATCTTGTGTTCAAGTTCGAAATGTTGAAAAGCGTCTACCTTCGACGGTTAGCAGTGTGAGGGAGATTTTAAGTTTTTCTAATTTAAAGTTATTGCTTAGTGTCTCTAATACTTTATATACTTAAACTAATATTTTTATTGAATTAATTATTAACTGAAACATTACGATTTTTTATTGAAAACCGTGTCTTAAATAGTTGGAAATTTGTAAACTTTTTTTTTTGTTTTTTTTTTGGAAATTAGAGTATATCAAATTTTAATTTCTGTTCTACTATGAGCTATCGAAAAGCTTTATTTTTTTTAATTTTGATTTGTGACACATATCAAATGCAACAAACGTCTGCCTTGCACGCTGGGTATGCGAAATCGGTAGCCACTCGCACATGTAACTTTCGTACTTGTTATGGCAAATACAAAGTAGTTTGTGTTGTGAATTTTAGTTTATTTTCTGATTAATATTTGTAATTCCGTTATATCATGCCAACATGAAACTTTCTGTTTATTCGCAATTATTTTGCTATTTTCGCGTTCATTTAATACTCGAATGTCTGGTCTCGGTGCACTTTTTTCAATGCATTCAACACATTCACCGATATCCGTTGTGTGGCGGCCAGTAAGCCAAAATAAAAATGTGAACTCATGCACATGGACTAACACAATAAGTTCGTGCAAGTGCAGATGGGTGAAAGTTTTCACGCTTCTATGGCGCGGTTTGTGTTTAATTGGCCCCATGAAGGCCGCCATTTTACCATTTTAATGCGTACACATAATTTTCCATGTTATCTGTGTCGCAAGTTTAGCCAGACCTCATGTTCGCATGAGACCTGAGTTTCTCGTTCCCCTCAGGCTTGCTCAAAGTTCGATTTCCTACATAAATGGCTAACTAATTAGCTGCACATTAATATAGATTTATTCGCACAAACGAAAGAGTAGATTTGTTAGCGCGTTCTTTGTTTACTCTTTCAACTTTTCCGCAATTGTGCTTCACATTGTTTCATGTGTGAGTCGTAGCTGGAGTACGGCATAATAAATTAACTGAATTTAGTTAATTAAAAGCAATTTATGTAGAGAATAGCAGCAATTAGATGATTCATTTCAAACAGAAGCAAACTTGCACAATAATAAGAACAAATACATGGCAACTCTATGTTGTAAAATCGCATCAATTGAGCCTAATTTTGTGATAAATAAGTAACACTTTTGTCTGCTGATGTTTCCATACATTTCCGTAAATATATATACGTGTGTTCAAGTGTTGATATACGCAAAAACAAAGAGAAATATGTCAATGCGTGTTTTTAATTGGTGTACTCATGTTGAAAACGTGCTTTGACTATAATATTTCAGCGTGTTCAGTTTACTTAAAATAAATATTTGTCAATTGGTAATTTCAGGCCTAGTTATGTCTGCGTGAGGTTTTGCCTGGACTTTTGTAGCCACTTTGCTTGGCTAGCGCTTGAGAATCACTTTATTGATAACGATTCTTTCTGCAAATTTCTTTGAGCTTCTGGCTTTTATCTGAATATAAACTTTTATTAAATCGTTTGTTTTTGTAGTGATGATATAGAAGAGATGTTCAGCAGATGTTCAGTTAAGCGCAATATCATGAGCTTAGAAGTTCAACGGCTACAGTAAGACAAAACGTGGAACAGCAATCTTTTGTTTATACTAAATAAGTATTGTTGGCTTTTTATTTTTGTTTTTACTTTATACGTATTGGTGAGTTTCAGGGTAAGTAACATGAATTAGATCGCATATTCGCTTGAAACAGTTTTATGCATTTCAGCATAAACTAAACCAAATTTATTTTTATGGTTTTTTCTCGCCAGCAATTATACCAAGTTAATGAAATCGTTTCACTAAATCAAATTATTCAGCCAAATATACGCAATAATTTTCAAAGTAATTGCTTGACTTATTTATTTAACAGCAACATCAAAGAAAATAATAACGATAAAATTAAATTCTCGAAAGAGTGAATAAACAAAACCAGCTGTTTGTATAAAAATATTAAAAATCAGCTGACCCATCACATGTAGAAAGCTCTGAAACAGATGGCTGAACAAATTTCTTTCTCAACTTGCTCACGCTTATTTATTGATTATTTTTTCCCAATTTTCAATTCTCAATTGTACGTTTAACTGAAGTTTGTCGTGCAACGTT